ATAAATTAAAATTTAAGTGAAACGTCAACAATTAATTTTATTCACACCGTATTAAGATTCAATTTAAATCATTCTTGAGTGAAAGGTCATGAGTCTAAATCTTGGGGACGCAGTAAAAATCTATGAGCCCTAAGATGGCTTAGGCCCTCAGTGCATAAATTAATGACTTAAACAAAGAGTCTAGATCATTTAACGTATTATCCATTTTGAGAGAGCTAAGGCCATTCTAAGAGAGTTAAGCCCATCTTACCTATCTACCGCATCCCTAGAATTCGAACATTTGACATTTACCTTAAGAATAACTTAAGGTAAATCTTGATACCAATTGAAGAATTGTAACAACTCAACATCTGTGTCCAAACCGTTAACTTGCGTATTGTTCGCTCTGAAAAAGCCTAAGCTCATACTACCACTCACGAGATCATGTGTTTGAATACTAGGGAGTAGAGAATGTCGTAGAACTCTGTGAGGCATAAGATCAAGTTCTTCCATAGAAAACAGTATGAAAGTTAACGGCTTGGACACAGATGTCAGATCGTTACAAAAAATGTGGATTTTTTCCAATTTTTTAACTATATATTTCATCAAAATTTTTTTGAAATTTACTAGAAGGTTGATTTTTATTTAAATAAAACAGGACTATAATATAATGTAGAGATTCAACATTTGTTTAATCCCCATTTTTTTCAAAATAAATTTTTCTCTCTTCTTTTAACTACACATTTTTCAATAAAATAATATTATACAAAAATCCAAAAAATTTCCTTACATTAATCTATCATTTCAAAATGCATTCTACACCAAAATTTGAGCTCAAACAAGCCTCCATTTTTTTTTTCAAAAAATGTATTTTGGAATCATGTATTTGTGATTGAAAATAAGAAAATTTTTTAATTTTCGGATAATATTATTTTGTTAAAAAGTATGTGGTTAAAATATGACGAAAAAATTGAGGTTCAAACAATAGCTAATAGAATAGTCAAAGGTCGTTATCAATGTGTCTGCCACTTTCTGTCTGTACTTTTGATCAAATGAAGCGGGGTAACCACTGTTGTTTATTTTCCTATTTCTTTAAGAAATTTTGTAGCAGGATCCTCAAACTTTTACAAATAGAATGCATAGATACCCAAACTTTGTGTTTAACCATAAACTCAATTCCACCATTAAAAAGAAAACGAAGGACCCAAAAAAAGGAAAAAAAAAATTAGCAACCAACCTTTTCACCACGGTCTCCACCCTAGCATCCACTCACCCCAACCTTGCATCAGTACTAATAATATTCTCCCTATCCCATGATTGTCATCGTCCTTATCCAAAACTAGTTCAAAAATAGAAATTTGCGATGTGAATATATTTATTATTTGCTCTATTTTAAAACCACATAAATCATCCCTATTTGACTAGAAACATAAACCCGAAAACGGAGAGAAATAGTGATGCAATGAAAATGGAAAATGACAAAAATGGTGAGGCTATCGCTCTTGGAATTTAAAATCCACAGCCTATGTTGGTTCCAAACTTCAATTCCTCCAATGAAGATCTGGTCGGAAACAACCTACTACTGTACTTGCACAATGAACAACTGCTCCGAAGTCACAACATACAATTTTTTTCTTGTATAAGTGGCACCGATATTGGACCAAGGTAGTATTTTGTTTATTTTCTTTGAAATTTAACTTATTTTGTTATGTTGGTCAGGGAGTTTGCGTGTTTTTGAAATTTTCTCGACTAAAATTCATAGGAATTTTGCGTGTTTTTGAAATTTTCTCGACTAAAATTCATAGGAATTCAAAGTTCATTGAATTTTTAAAAAACTTTCTTTTATTTTTTTTCATCAAACTTTCTCGTATAGGCAATTCTTCTTCCACCTTGCTGTTGTGATAATTTATTGCTAGCCTTGGATTGACAAGGCAGGGATGAGAGATTAGAGGCTAAGGCCTGACGAGTAGCAAACGGATACTAAATCTTAAAAATCCTTTAAAACTTTCCCCTCTTTCAACATTTTATTCTATATTGGATGCCTCTCTAATCTCCAACGGGTTATTCAATAAAAATCTCAAACTACATTTCAATTGCGAAAGATCGTGTACACTTAGTTTCTGCCTACAAAGAGGGCAAATCAAGTTGAATCACTTATCAACACAATCAATATGAAATGCATGTTTACAATTAGGCAACAACCTAAGAATCTCAATATCTTCGAATTTTGACAAACAAGCTACAATTATATAGGTACACTGAAGTTTAGATTATCTCTACGTTTGGCACTCATTTTTTTCTAATTCTCATTCTCATTCTTTTTCTCTTTCTTCATTTCAACCACACATTCTATCAATAAAATAATATTACACATAAATATAAAAATTCTCCTTACTTTTTAACCACACATTTTTCTATCAATCACTATTCAAAAACACATTTTTCTACTAAAATTGGTGTCAAACACCTCCTATATATTTTAATTTACCCTTTCACTGTGGTTGGAATGACAAGATAGGAGAAAAACACCATCGTTGTTGAAGGATGTGGTTGGGCTGGCAAGTGGGGCAACACAATTTTGTTTATTGAATTTGATTTTCATGATTTCATGTCTACGTTCTTTTTTTATTTTACATTCTTTTCCTCTTTCCTTTTCTTATGAGTTTGGTTTAGTGAAGCGAAAAAAGTTGAAGAAAATAGCCCTAAAAAGTCAAACCAAGTGCAAGATGCCAAGACATGGTTGTATTTAAAATAAATGGTGGCATGTCACATTCATTATTGTGGGTGAACTCAGCAAGATTAAAAGTTTGGGGATTTGAAGGTAAAAGAAAAAACCGACAAGGCATCCATGTGCTTATTTGGGAAGTTTGAGGATTGCAGTTCCAAATTTGCATTTTTTTTTTCTCTATTAATCCAAAAACATTTATTTGGAAAATTAATATAAATGTGGTAATTCACTGTGTCTTAAGTGCTTGTTAATTGTTATTTATCATAAGCGCAATGTTATCTAGTTTCATTGACAATTAACAACAATTTAGGTGATAATCGTAGATAGTTTTAAATGATTGATTCATTTACCTATTAGATAACATTAATTTTATCATAAAATATTTTATTTAGACGGTGTTATAGCACCATTGAAATTAGATAACATTAATTCTATCATAAAATATTTTATTTTTACATACTTCAGTAAAAACTTCGAGTTTAGTCTATAGTTTATTAGCTCTTTTGTCAAACCCAACTCATCAATTAAGATGCGATTTAGGCTGAAATCCAACTAACGCGAAAGAGACCCACTTTTACTTCAATTGACATGTTTTTCGAAGATTTTTTTTAAATTATTTTTTTCAAATAAATTCACAAAATTTTCCAACTTCTAACCACACGTAGAAAAAGGAAAAAAAAAATTCACTTAAAAATATATTTGTCAAATAAGCTTTAAGTTTATCTTTTATTTGCTATTTGTTTGGACTTAAATAGTCATGGTTGGGGATGAAGACGATTTGGTTGGTTTTTCGTCTAAAACATTGTACTAGAAAGCAACATGCCGCAAAAGATAAATTAAAAAAAAAAAAAGATAAGTTATGGTAATACGTCATTGGCTGGAAAGTGGGCACACCTTTTCTGACTTGGTCTAATGTTTTTTAGTTTTAACGTGGAAAAGTGCTATTCAAAACTTTCAATAATTATGTCCAAACAATTGTGTGGCGCAGAAGCAACGTAAATAGGTCAAGCAAGTACGTAAAATTGACGAATAATACTATTTATCATTATGATGATGATTAAAAATAGGTGATATGACAATCTATGTGTAATAATTGAATGAGTCTTGCACAATTCATTTTTTTATAGAGTAGGATGAAAGAGAGATAAATATAAGGAATAATGGATTGTCACATCATCGATTCTTCATTATTATGATGATAAATAACATTACTTAATTCAATTGTTTCAATCTATTTGGAGTTTGTGTTGGGTCAGGTACTATTCATATTTAGAGTGTGTTTGATAGATATTATTGATGAAATAATGAATTTTAAATAGTGATATAATGAAAAATATGTGATTAAAAAGTAAGGAAAAGTTACTGATGTGATGTAAAATATTATTTCATAGAAAAATATATGGTTGAATATGAGTTTTGAAATAATGCATTTTAAACGAATGTATGTCAAATATGGGCTTAATATGTAATGAGTCATATGAACCAATAATATTTTAAAAGTTCTTTCTAAAAGAAATTTTGAGGGTTCAACCATCAAAATTAGGGATAATTGCAGTAAAAACTCCAAATCTTTAAAATATTAGGAGACTTTTCCTAAATTTTTGAATTATTGCAGCCATCACCCCTAACATTTCCAAACGTTGCACATGAGACCCTTTTGGATGATTTCCATCCATTTTTCTGTCATTTGACCACTAAACTAAAAAAATTGACCACTTTGTACCAAAATAGGAGAGAGTAAAATGGTAACTTACTATTTTCCCCATAAATAATTAAAAAGAAAAAGGAAAATGTATCTTCTTCTCTCTCACCCTCATCTCCACGCACAAGCCCAACCCCTCAACCCAAAATCAGAAATCTGTCACCAT